TCAGATGGAACAACTTTGCAGATATTATCAACGACAACAAGAATTGGATCAACTTAATGCTCGGCTTCAACCGAGAATTAATTAGCCAATTCCTTTCGATATTATCGATGCTCTGGATTGTTACCGTCTTAAGCTTAAAAAATTACGTTAAGATAGTGATAAATCAAAAACTTCGAATTTTTGTGGTATTTGTAGTATTTTTGATAATGATAAGTTGTTCCGTATTATTCTTGACAGTGGTGCAAATAATCATTATTTTGGTGACAAAAATTTGTTCGTGGAATTAAATTCATATAATGATTTTGTTAAATTTGCTGATAATTCAACAGCGACAACACGATATCGATCGTGAAAATGTGGAAATTGAACGATTGCAGCGGCAATACCCTAATCAACCGCTGCCAATCGACGTTATTTTCGATATCAATGTAGATAACATTGATAATGATAATCATAATAACCTGGATAACGATCAAAATGATGATCCAAATCCTATCGATGAAGAAGATATTGATGATTATTGGAGACGTCGCAATCTCCGATATCAGGAACAGCTACAGGCAATTGAAGCCTTGAATGCTCAACTGCAACCCAATCAAGAGATCGAAGTAATCGATGATCAGAATCCAGACGTCGATGAAAATAATAATTACATTTATTAATAAATATCCTGATAAAAATAAACAATAAAAAATAATATCGACAAATGAAGATATCATTTTTGTTGAATAAAGAACTCATCACTGCATATTATAAATTAATTAGTAAAAAGTTTAATTCAATCAACATTAATGTTCCAATTACATTTATTTAACTTTTGACCATATTAATGATTTTTTCTGCTAATTAAACAATCATTGATTGAAAATGCAATTAATTAATTGTTATTGTTATTATTCATATAAATATTGGCACACTAAGCCGCTAAAAAGGTATCTTAGTATTCCAATATACTACTCTACTACTTAATAAAAATTCAAAACTCTACTTTTATTGAATCTTTATTAATTCTCTTTTTAAAACTACTAATTATACTTAAAAAATGGGTGGACAACCCAAAGAAAATTTAAAAAAACCTTCAAATGCTCACCCACAAATCGATAGGGTGCAAGTTAATCGAAATCCACAGGCTGCTCGAGTAGAAGCTGCTCGAAACGAGCCTGTAGCAAGAGGTTTCGTTCAACAACAACAACAACGAATAAATAATCAATATGCTCCGGCAAATTTTCGACCAATTCGTGAATGAACCATAAAATATTGATATTGAATCTTGAATGGTCAAAGAATTGTAGTCAAACCGAATTGTTGGTAACATCAGAAATCAATATTCTAGAATGATGTTTTTTGTATATATGTTTGAAAAAATATAAATAAAAAATCTTATTTTTTTAAAAAAATTTTATTCCTTATCTTGTCACAATTCTTTTTTTTATTTCAATCAATAAGAAACAACAACAGTATTTAGATTTAAGACAGAATAAGAAAACAAGGCGTCAACAATTGAACCAAAATCACCAACACCGATTCCATTCATTTATTTTAGTCTAGGCGCAGAATCAAATCCTTGTTCCAGAATGAAAGAATTTCTATAATGGAGAAATTCTATATATAGATCATATATGTCAAGATGGTGATTGGCTATTCGATAATCGTATTGAATCAAGTATCGATTCAAAACATGAACATCCAATCAGGAAAACAATCCATTGGTTGATCCAAAAGGTTGATTCGAAATCATTTCCAAAATGAATTTGAATTTGAAAAAAAAGTAAAAATCATCAAGGGAAATCATTCGATTTATTCAAACGCGTCATTTGAAGAATACATCAATCAGGAAAAAAAGTTTTAAAGTTTTTTTTGAAAAAAAACAACAAAAACTGAAAAAAGCTAATTTTTAAATCTCCGAATGACAATGATTGTCCATCAAGGCGTGAATTGAATTTTGAATTCTGAAATTTGAAATTTGAAATTTCAAAAAAAGAAAAGAAAAATCACTACAGTTAAATTCAATTATAATATGAATTTTACCGAAAAGTTTAGAAAAAAAACATCAAAAATCATCGAATCGAATGACAATTTTGAAAAAAAAACCTGACAGATTTTCGAAAAGCAAGTTTGAATTACGCATGTTGTACATATATATGGAGAGAGAGAGAGAATATTCGTTTGCAGCACATATGGTAAATTCTAGATTCAATTTTCATCATCATCATCATCATCACATTACCAAATTCACAAATACGGTATTTAAATTTGTGATTGATCTTTTTTTCATTTTTGTATTCGTATTCGTATTAAACAAAACAAGCGAATAGCAAATGTTGAAAAACATTTCCGCATTTTTTTCCATTTAAATTTTATTTAAAAAAAAATTCGCAGTTACGCCATCTATTTGTCAAGAAAGTTGTCTTGGATTGTTTCTTTCAAGAAAAATGTCTTGTAACCATTGGTAACAAGTATTTTAAATGGAAAAAGCAAAAACACAGGTGAAAGTGAATAACGTAACCAGCCAAAACTAACTAGCCGGGAAAAAAAGCCTATAAAATTTAATCATCAGGTACCGTTATACAGACACACCAGGTGTACCTGTCAAAAATCACTGAAAAATTATCATAAATTTCTTTCGTTTGCGTGCACGTGTTCATTGTTTGTTTATTTGTTTGTCTGGTTTAATTTAGTTTAGTTCAGGTTAATTTTCTTTTTACTGTTATCTAACTCGATTGAATGAATTTAACAACAAAATCGATCCAAAAAAAATAAAGGTAAATCGAGACACGAGACCAATTAGCAATTGATAATAATCATTGTGATGAACACGTGTTCATCATCATCAGCAACAAAAAAAATATGGAATAACCAACAACAGAATCTAAATTCATTTTCATATGATACGCAACAATGATTTCATAGTGGTTGGTTATGGATCAATTCTTCTCTTGTTTTTAGCCAATCATTCATTCATTCATCCATCCATTTAACCAAAGAAAATAAAGGTCAATAATAATCATTATCAGAAAAAAAACCACTATGAAATAATGATGTTTTCTTTTTTTTTGGGTAAATCAATATTGGTCATTTTGAACATTAATGACCACATCATTTGGTCGATTTCGGGCTTCAAATTTCAACCATCAACCAAATGTTCAAATATTGAAAAAAATGGACATTTCATTCGAAAAAATTTGTGATTATGATTATTTTGCGTGACATTTTTTTGTTTGTTTCAACTTTCACTCTCTCTCTCTCTCTCTCTCTCTCTCTCTACTGGTTTTGTGTTTTCAAGCAAGATATTTTTCATTTTGATGAATCAAAAAGATTACAATTCTAAAGGTAACAGTTCTTTATCAACAAAAACATCATTATTAACAAGATTAATAAATGATTCGTGTTTGAATTCATTCATAATGATGATGATTATAATGATGACCATCACCACCATCATTATCATTATTATTATTTGATGGCAGAAGCCAAAACCCAATCAACCAAAAGCTACTTGAATTAACAATCGATTTATTTATTTATTTATGAAAAAAATAGTGAATCCTAACATAAAGTAACAAGTATCCATCCATTTATGATGACCTGATCTAATGTATTTCGTTTTTTATCCAGGAAAAAAAAGCCAAAAAAAAACTTTTGGTCGATTAACTTGAACATTATCCTGGACACCAGAAAATAAAGACCCGAAAGTAACTATTTTTTATTCAATATTTTATCAATGTGATTTATAGACATGATCATATCTAACAAACAAAATGATGATGTTAAATGGAATAAAAATGTGATAATAATTAATGATGATGATGATGATAATAGAACTACTATGGGCTAATTTAATGGTTTGATTTTGATTTAGTTTTTTTTGTTAATGTTAACGGTGATAATGTTGTTTTTTTTATCTTGCCTGCCCGTCATTTGTCGTTTGTTGTTGTTTTTTAAATATATTCATTTTCACCAAGTTCTGAACAAATTGACTTTTTTTTGTTCACTTGTGATTCCACTACGGGGTTATTTAATGTTGAACATGTTGGTAAAGATAGTGACAGGTGTGGATTGTTTTGTTTTTTTGTTTTTTCGATTATCATTTTTTTCCAGTCATCATTATGGTTATAATCTGGTTTCGTTTTTTGATCAAAGAATTCAAATGAAATGAAAAGTTGTTTTGCATGATTGCATTTGTTACTATTCAAAAGCAATTATCACGTGTATCCAAAAAACTGGAAATAAAAAAAAGGATCATTCAATGAAACAATCAACCAAGAATATATTAATCATATGTCGAAAAAAAAGAAAAGAATTCAAAGAATCGATTCTGAAAAATCGAAATCGAAAATGATAATTTTATACCTTTTTTTTCTGAATTCACCAATGTGACATTGGAAAGCCAAAAATAACCTCGAATAAATCGAATTGACAGAAAGAAAAAAGGAGAAACAAAAAGGCAAACCCCGTTCACCGAGATCGACCGATTTGAATGAAAAAAATGTTCAATCAATCGAAACCGAATTTGATAATGATAATGATGATGATGATCGGGGTGAATATTATATAATTTATCATTTTTAGAAAAACAGCAAAAAAACTGAACAAATGTTGTTTTTTTATCGTCGTAGAATAAATTTGATTTTTTTGTTGTTGTTGTTTTCAAATTGTGTTGGCCATTTGTTGTTGTTGTTGTTGTTGTTCGATACGATATCCATTTTACCTTAGCAGTGGTGATGGTGGTGGTTGACTGGTTGGTTGGCAATTGTGCAATCAAACATCAAAAACTTTATACAATGACTACTGACTGACTGACTGACTGACTAACTACTCATCACGCCTGAATAAATTTGATTAATTTACATTTTTTTTTCATTCATTCATTCATTCATTGATTCAACCAATATTGGAACAAAAGGAAAGTTTTTGCTGTTGAAATGGTTATTTTATCGACGGTGACGATCATGATGATGATTATTAGGATGAAAAAGGGAAAAAAAAGGTTCCAAAATCGATCCAAGACCGAAAAATGTGATTTTTGAACATGTGGATAATGTGTATACCACACACACACACACACAATGGGGACAAAGTGATAATGATGACGACAAACCGAACGATGCGAAACAAATAAAAAGTTTTTTTATTTGAAAAAACCAGAAAAAAATGATACATTTTGAACAAATTTGATGATAATGATAATCGATAACCTGCTACATACGTGGTACACATCTGTGTGTGTGTTTGATACACTTTTGTTTTTAGTTGGATGGAAAAAAACGCCATATGAATAATATGAAAATGATATTTATATGTAAAAACATACAAAAATACGACTTGTCAAGTGAGAGTCAAAAACCAGACTGATTCATTTTTATTCATTTCTTTTAAAGTATTTTAAATAAATTCTTTTCATAAATAACGTGATGTTTTTCATCCATTTACATCCCCCCGCTTTAAGATTGTAGATTAGGGGAAATTTTGATTATTACAATAGTGTTTTGGGTATTATACAATANTATTATTCAATGACATAAGTTAGGTCTTTTCCAATTGACGAAAAACAAAATTCAACTAAGCTACACTTGTGGTTTTTAACCTGAATTCATTTGACAATATTTCCTAATGTCGCTTATTAAGGCAAAATGTATCTAGCCTGTTGCATTGATGTTGATTCAATTTACACTTGTCATCATCATCATCATAATCAACAACATCATTTTCAATTAATTTAGCAAAAGAAACAACAAAAAAAGAAAATTAATTGAAATTCCATCAAAATTCAATCAGAATAATCACCACAGAGACTATTGTCAGCAGGATATCTTTGTTTTTTTTTCTTACTAAAATTTCAACATTTCATCAAATGAAATGAAAATGAATGAAAAAGAAAATTAATCAAAATCAATTAGTAAATCACACACACACACACACACACAAGCAATAATCGTTGAATTATAGTGAAAATTAATAACATTTATAATGAGAAAAGCAATAATTATTATTATCATCATCATCAGCAATCGGTTAATTACATATTCTAATCATGTGTTCAACAACAACAACAACAACAACCTAATATAACTGAACGAGATTTTTTTTTGACCCTTGTGTTATATAACAATGTATGTATGTATGTATGTGTGTTTGGCGTAATGATTACCATTCGCGTGCCACTATTATCACGTATTATCATTCACTGAATGAATGAAAGAGAGATTTTCTGACAAGTTTCAAGTGTTATCAACAACAACAACAAATAAAAAAATTGTAAATCATAATGAATGGGAATGGGAATGTGTGTGTTAAACAATGTGATAATCATTATTATCATCATTTGGATTTTTGGAATATAATCAAGCCATGATTTTCTCTATCTGGTGTGTTTGTGTGTGTGTGTGTCGGTGACATTTGAAATAGAAATTAAATCAATTGAAGAAAAAAAACAATAATGACATTTAAATCACGAAAATAAAAAACAAAAACTATTTTCTTCAATCAAAGTTTTTTGAGGAAAAAAAAAAATAGAAAACTCTTTCGTTCTGGAACTTGATGAAATGTATGACAACCTTGTTGTTTCGTTTTTATTTAACCTAAGTTTATATACACACACAGCAACCATGCAGAAAATAAAGGTAAAATAATAATAATATTCAATGTCTAACAACATTGATCAGATAAGTCAGGTTGTCAAAATTGATGATCACCTTTCGTATCAATGAATAAAAAAACGAATGTTTATTTTTAGTTTTTTTATTCATTTCATTTCATTGTTTGTTTATTTGTACCTAAAAAAACTTTAACGAAATACTTTTGTGGATCATTGATCTTGATGATGATGATTTAAGGTAACGATCCAACCGAACAACGGCAAAAAACCGGATCATTTTCGTTCATTAGCAAAAAAAAAATTTCTAGAACATCTAGATAAGATGGCCAATTTTGTTGATTATCGTTATCGTTATTATCGCAATTAATTAACATTTTTTTTTTTGTGTTTCATAATTATTTCCGGAACAATTTTGTTTTTTTCGCCTTTTGTTTTCGCCATTACAATATGAGAGAGAGAAAAAAAAATGTCAACAAAAAAAAACTCTTGAAATAATGCCTGTTTTGGAAGTAAACAAAAAAAAAATTCTAGATTTTTTCAGGATCTTAATGAACTTTTTTTTTCCTAACACCAAATACCATTGTGACCCAAAAAATTGATTAATTCGAATTTGAAACTACCACAATATCAAAGATTAATTGTTAGTTAGTTAGTTAGCTTTTTTTTCTTTAATTTTAAAAGTAAAAGTAAAAGCTGAAAACAAAAAAAATAATGCCGAAAGGTAAAAAAATCGATTGTATCGATTGTCATTCATCCAACCAACCAACAAACAAAAAGAAAATCTATTGTTATCGATATCTGAGCAAAAACAAAAACAAAACAAAAAAATGAAAAGAGAAAGTATTTCGGTGATCTTTTTCGATCATTTTTTTTCTGATCCAAATTTTCCAATTTTCAACCTGATTGATCCACTTAAATGTATTTCATAGAAGAAGAGGAAAATAAAAAGATATTTTCGGATCCTTCGATCTTCGTTTATTATTGTTGTTCATTAATTTGGTTTTTTCAACAACAAAACAAAAAATCATGGTTTGGAATCACACCAGGTAAACCTGAAAGATGATGAATAATAATTGACAATCAACCAAACTAACCAACCAACCGATCGAAGACTATTCATAGACATTGTTTATGTGTTTGTGTGTGTGTTCTATTGTTTATTATGAAATAAATCCTTTTCTTTGATGATAATTTTACCATTCAATCAACAACAACAAAAATCTAAATACAAAATGTGAATGAATCCATTGATTACGACAATGGACAAAAAAGATTCGTCATTCACATAGAGTTCAATCACACATATTGGTCATCCGTTTGTTAGTTGTTTTACCTTTTTCTATTAAGTTTTCTATTGACAATCAATTTCAATTCATTTCAGTTATTATTCGGTAAATAGAAATTTAATTCTTTTTTCTTTTTTTGTTTTCTTTTCAGTTGACGAAAACTGGTTTCAAATAAAGCAAATGTTGTTTGCCTTTTTTCGCTTCTCTTCGACAAGGTGTGATGATGACGATGACATTCCCGTTCATGTTCCACAGATTGAATGGTGCCCGGGCAATGTTCTTCTTTGTTACAAAAACGAAAAACGGGAATAATATTTTTGTGTGAGAAAAGCAATATGAAGAGAAATTAATGATTGAAATCGAACAAATGATAATTTAGATCTAGAACGAATGAGAGAAACGAAGAAAAAAATTGATCTCTCTGTTGTTTCGTTATTGTTTTTTTTTCTGGGTGAAAAGAGTTCATCAAGTGTTATTGTCATCGATGATGATTGTTTCTTTTCGGCTTGGCTTTATTCATTTCTTCGTCGTTGTCGTCGTAGTCGTTACTGCTTTCATTCGAAATAAGATCTACATTTTGAATCTTCTTGGGTGAAAGAAAAAAACAAAGTGATTTTTTCCTATTTTGATTTCATTTTTCAAACATCCGAATCGCCGTTTACAATTAGTTTGTTCAATTTCGAATTGTTTTTTTTTTCTAATCAAATCAGTGAATTTCCTTTTTTTTGCAATTGATCAATCAATCAATCATGTATATTATTAACGAAAGCCAAAATTTTTCAAAAATTTTTTTACTGGCCACCATAATAATCATTTTTAATAATATTTTCTTGATTCAATCATTATCATCATCATCAACAACAACAACAACAAGACGAATTCCAAAAATTTATAATCGTAGTCCATATCGACGTAATTTTCAATTGGATAAATTTCAAATTGATCCAAATTATTCATTAACATCACCTGGTTATGAATTACCACAATCATCATCATCATCACCATTTTCAAATAGTCAATTTTATTCAGAATTTATACCGGATAATCGTATGATAACAATGTTATCAAATCCATTAACATCATCATTAATTAGTCAAAATCATCGTTATATGACTAAAACACCTGAAAGAGATTTACATTATCAAACAATATTAAAACAACAAGAACAAGCAACAATTAGACATCCATTTCAAGCATTTCAATTAGCAAAAGATCAAGCTAATATGCGTGGTCATATGTTACGTAGTAGTTTACAAACATCGGATGATGATGTTTATGAAGTTGAATCGGCACCAGTTATGAAAACAACATCACCATATCAATATCATTCATTATATTCACAATTTAATAATAATAATAATAATAATAATGTTTATCGTTCATCATCATCATTATCAAATCGTTATCGTTTACCACCATTATATAGTTATCCATTAAATCAACAATTACAACAACAACAACATTATTATCAACAACAACAACAAGAATCTTCACAACCACCAATTGAATTACCATCAATTTCAATGAGTTTTGATCCAAATCCATATCAACAACAACAACAATCAACAATCAATGAATCACCATCACCATCATATCAAATGTATAATTCACCATTATCATATCATCAATTACAACGAAAATGGCCACAAAAACGTTTTTCGAATTGGGTTGATTTCGGTAGGGAAAATGGTCGAGAATCACGTACAAAAGAATTAACAACATCTATTCGTGTTGCACCTTTCACATCATCATTTCAACCTGATCATTATAATCATAATCATAATCAAAATAATAATCAACATTCATATCATTATCGTCAACAGCAACAACCAAATCAACATCAATATGAAATGGAACCAGAAACAAAAAATCTTTTCATGACAATCGGTTTTGATCAAACATCATCAGCATCCAATAATAATGATAATTCAAATGATTATCCTGATACATATGAAACAAGTGCAAGTCAACAACAGCAAAAAATTTTCAACACGCAATTATCAAATAATAATCATTCGGAATCAATTTTACCATCTGCAACAACAACTAATCAGCAAGAAAAATTAAAAAAAAATCAACAACAACAAGATGATCCAACATCATCATGGTTAGATATGGGTGCATATTCAGCAAATAAAGGTGAATTTGGTTGGTTTACCGATACGCCGGTTATTGTTGGTCATAAATATCAACAACATCAACAGCAGCAACAACAACCATCATCATCATCGTTTCGTGATGGAAAATTTTCAAATGAAAGAAATGAATGAGAAAAAACAAAAAAATCAATGATAAAATGATAAAATCCTGATCAATAATAATAATAAAAAAACTTTTCAATATTCATAAATTCTGTATCATATTTCTAAAAAAAAACAAAACAAAATTCTTTGCTATTTTAACATCAATTGATGATGACAATGACTAAATAGGGAGATAATTTATTCCGTTTTTTTGATGATCGCGGACATCCACGACTAATATCAACAATCGGATTTCATCTGAATTGAATTATAATGATTCCGTTTTGTTATTGGAAAATAAAATTGTGAAAAATTTAAAAGTCAAATTTGGTCAGATTCAATAGTGGTGGTGTGTGGTAGGCGATGGACCAATGTGGATCAATATTTATCACCAAAATACGCTTTAATACACACACACAAACACAAACACATGCATCCAAATCTCTCGAGTAAATGCCCATTTTATTTTACAAATAAAATAATAAAAAAAAAGGTCATCCGGAATCGATTTCAAAGATAAATAAATAAAATGATCAAAGAAAGAAAGAAAAAAAAATAGATCAATCTTGTTTCTGTTGTCAAAAATTTTGTCTATATTGTCTATTTTGGATTTGAAATTTGTTCGTAGTTGGAGTTGTTGACACTTTTATTTTTTTCACAAGTAAATTTTATGAATCGTTTAACTGGATTAAACATAAATCAGGATAGACCAGTGATTTAATGAATCTGGACAATGGAAGGACTTTTTGCTTTTTAAATAAAAATTTTCAAACTTGTTTCGAAGCACCAACTAGCTAAATAGATGTGAACGCAGGTGGATCCAATTCCACACATACATACAGTGTATTTTTACACATGTTTCATTTCCAAAAAACGCATCAACCAACAAATATTATTGTCTATTCTGTCTCGGTGTGTGTATATCGAATGATTGAGTGTCATCGTTGTTGTTTTTAAAAAAATTTTCCCTGGATAGAATTTCAAACACACACAGGGAAACAAAGTGATGAAATCGATCGGTGGGTAAGCAAAATTTATTGTCCATTCGGTGATGACATTGGAAAAATATTTGAATAGAAACTGATTCTACCATCACCAAAGTGATCATAAAGCCTTTAGGGTTTGTTGTTGTTAGGTTATTTTTCTATTGGAAAAAAAACATATTATCCGACCAGAATGACAAAAAAAAAGGATTCTAAATTTACATATCGTATATGACAAATATCATATTTTAATCAAAATGGATTTCTAGGATAGGATACCCTTTATTCATTCAATCAAACAAACAAATTATCTGATTAAATTATCATTATAACCGAAATTACTAATGGATTTCATTGAAATAAATAAATAAAAAACATACAACACAAAGAGTGTAACAATAATTGGTTGTCACATAAGAATCCTACCCTACCCGCACCGGTTATCATTATCAATTTTTTTGTTTTTTTTTTTGTTTCGCTGACTGACATGTGTAATACTTTTTTTTTGTTTCTGGTTTTGTTTTGTTTTTTCAACTAATATCTGTTGTTTATATAAACCACAGTAACGGGGTAATTTTTGGATTGAAATGAAAACCCAGAAAAAAAGCTGCTTCAGGGTTTGTTTTTTGTTTTTTTTGTTCTTGGTTGAATATTGATCATTTTCACTATGGTCGCATTGGTTATGATGATGATTATGATTGACAGTTTGTGTGTGTGTGTGTATGTCGTGGGTAAGTTACATTATTATTTTTTACGGGAATACAGTTTTTCAATCTAAATGATAATGAACATAATTCGGTTTTTTTAATCGAAATGTTTCTCACTGTGTGTGTGTGTCTTTTTTTCATATTTTGGATCTCAAAACCCAAAACAAAACAAGGGTTAAACAAGGCAGGTGGATAACGAAAAAAAAATTTCGATAAAATTCTAAAATTCTAATTAGGAATTTTACAAAACAAAACAACAAAATTCAATTAAAGCAATAATCGATCGATTTTTTAACCAACTTTTTTGATATTTAAATTCGTTACCAATATTCAATCAGAAATCATTACTGTAATTTTTTTTGTTTTTTTTTTGTGTTTGTTTTGTTTTCTTTCGTTGAATTTCTTTTGTCAGCTACTTTCTCAGCCAAACAAATATCTATTGTAAAGTTTTAAATTGTTTTTTTTTGTTTGTTGTGCACAAAAATATTAAACGTCATTTAATTGATTGATAATTTAAAAAACAAAAATGTCGGAAAAAAGTATTTCAAATAAACCGGATGATGAAAATGATCCATCATCAACACAAGTATCACCACAATCAGAAATGGGTGAAAAATCATTAGCACAAAAATCGGAAAAATCATCAACCGATCAGAAAAAAGATGATGAAGAAGGTGGTGGCGGTGGTGGTGGTGGTGGTGGTGGCAATGCTAGTCCTTCATTGGAACAACAACAACCTCCAGAAAATAATGAACAATCAACAACAGCAACTAATGATGATAAACATCAAGCATCAACATTAGAAAGTGAAAGTCAAAAAGATATAAATGATGATATTGGTGCGGATGAAAAATCTGATGCAGAAGAAAAAGAAACAGTACCACAAAAGAAAGATGAAAAACAAAAATCTTCAAAAAAATCGGCAAAATCTTCAGTCAAAGAATCATCAGGAAAAGGAATGACAAAACGTCGTAAAGGTGAAAAACTTACTAAACAAAATTGTCGAATTGGTTTTGTTGGTGCCGGTAAAATGACCGAAATGATTATAAAAGGTTTATTAGAATATGGTAAATAAAATTTTTAATTTATAAATTGAATCAATTTTTTTTAAATTAATTTTTTAATTTTTATTTTTTTAAATTTTTTCAGCCGGTATTACAGCTAAACAAATTTTTGTTGCATCAAAAAGTGGAAAAAATCATGATCATTATAAACAACTTGGTTGTTCTGTAACCAAAAGAAGTTATGATATATTTGGTAAAATGGATTGTGATGTTGTATTTCTTGCTATTCATGGTTATGTTATTCGACAATGTTATCAACATGGTGGTATAAGACCATTAGCATTGACAACGAATTTCATACCAAATCAACGTCATCCAATTTATATATTATCATTAGTTGGTGGTATACCAATTAATGATATTAAAAAAACATTATTGAATCCAGATCATCCGGATAAATATCAGATAGAAATGCATCGTATTATATTGAATCATTCGGTTGGTTATGGCCAAGGCATTGGTTCATTGGATGTTGATTTAGATTCAAAAAATTGTGCACAAATTATACGTGAATTATTAACACCATTAGCACGATTTGAACATACACCTGAAAATCAAATGGATATTGCTTGTGCATTGGTTGGTTGTGGTTCAGCATTCTGTTATTATTTTCTTTCAGCAATATCGGATGGTGCATTCAAAAAAGGATTAAACAAAGCAAAAGCAATAAAAATAGCTGCCGATGCATTACGATCAGCATCCGTATCATTATTAGTATCGGGTAAAAATCCAAGCGATTTACGTGATACATATGCATCACCAAGTGGACCAGCTATATATGGTATATATGTTTTGGATAAAGATGATTTTCCATCCGGTATTTCATCGGCTGTTGATTCTGCATATAAACGTATTAAAGAATTGGCTGATAAACCAGTAACATCATAAATCCGATATGAAGAGAAAGAAATGAAAGAGAGATGGATGAATGGATGGATGGGAGTGAGCATATTTGAAAAAATTTTTGACTGAAAAACGAAGAAAAATTCATAATTAAATCCAATGAATTTTTATTATTATTTTTTGAAAAAATTTTTTCACTTTTTTCCAAATTCATTGTTTGCCTAAATAAAACAAATTGCTTGCTGATTTTTCTTCTGTTAGCTTTTCATTTTTGTTCAATATGAAAAATGGAAAACAAAATTAAATTAAATTTTTGTTTTTTTTTCAATATTTTTTATAAAGGTTTTTCTTTCCTCTACGTTTCTGGTGTAAAACGTAGAAATAAATATGGATCAAAAAAAATGGATCAAAAAAATGGCTTGCCATTGTGTTTGCCCAGAAAAAAAAATTGAAAGCTAATGGAACAACAAAACAACAACAACAAAACTAGGATTTGGAACACGAGTTTTTTTTATTGAGTAGATTTTAGGTAAATCAATTGAAATTGAAAAAATTTATTGAACTTTTTTTTTTATTTTTTTAAAAAAATCAGTACCAGTCATTTGATAGGCTTCTATTCACACAAACAAACAATACGCATTTACATGGATGATTCATATTTGAATCCAGAATCGAAAAAAACAACAAAAAAAAACACTTGGAATTCTAATGCAATCAACAACAACAGTAGGAGAAAAAAACATGTTTTTTTTTGTTTTTATTGTAGTTGAATTCATCCAATGTCACAAATATTGATAACCCTATTTTTGTTTTCAGTGAAAAAAAACAAACAAACAAATTCAATTGTAAAATATGCATCATTCAAGAATGCAACTAATACAAATCAGTTGAGAGAAAGAGTAAAAAGACAGATGGATTTTTGTGGATGATTCCAACAACAACATCAACAAAAAAAACCAAATGGATCGTCCTCATCAACGAAACAAAACAAAACTAGACAAAAAACATTGAAAAAAAAGAAGAAAAAATCAGATGCTAATTTGCATATAAAAACAATTAATAATAATGTTTTTTGTTTCGGAAAAAGAAAGAAAAAGAAAGAAATATGAATCGAATCGAATTGTGAATATTTGAATAATTTTTCTTTTTTCTTTTTCAATCCTTTTTTTCTGTCGATTTCGAATCATTTATGACATCTTCATGTTCATAGAATTATTAGTATTCAGTTTTTTGTGTGTTTTGAATTTATTTTTATTTGGTAATGATCATTATCATTATTTGTTCTCTCTCTCTCTCTCTCTCTCTTTGTATATTTATAAATTCAGGATTCATCATCATCGAAATCGACATTCATATTTGGCCCACATGTTCCAAATAATTATTCTTTTTTTTTTAGTTTCAAAAAAGAGCCCCATCATTGATTACAATGATGATTAATGATGATAACGACGATTCTTTTCATTTCATTTCGGGGTTTTTTTCCATCATTATTGTTTACCATCAATGTAATTTGCTGTAGCATTTTGTTCACTATACACTATCATGCTTCATGTTTTTGTGGTGATGATGATGATGATGAAAAAACGAAAGGATTTTCTCTAGTCAAATGTTGTTGGTGGTTTCGAAACTCATCGATCGATACAATAATATTCAGAAGGGGAAGAGAGAGAGAGAGAGAGAGAGAAAAGGGTTATCATCATATTCATTTAGAATGATGATGATGATGATAAATATGAACCACCTGGACCAGAAAAAAAAATTCGTTTTTTCCAAAAAACCATAATCTCCATCAAGAAAACAACAACAACAAATCGATTAATCGATCGATACTTGAAACAAATATCCTTTTCTTTTTCACTCATAAATTCATCATCAACAGCATAAAAACTCTTGTCCACTTCCATCATCATCGAATGATTATTTTTTTCTGAAAAATTTTTAACAAAATTGAAAATTCGATACAGATGATTCCTTTCACTCTTTCCATTATTCAGTTATTTTCAACATACAGAAGCAATAGAAATTGACAACAACAACTACAAAAAAAACTAAAGTGGCCAATTCTAATTCTATGAAATGGATTCAAATGTTTGAAAAATTTTCAAACATTTGCGTGTCCAATTTTTCCTTTTTTTTTGAAATTTCCAAGTGAAACACTACAATCATCATCATCATACTTGATCAGGCTAACAAGATCAAAAAGAGAGAGATAAACAGATTGATATGACAGGCTTGAAAATGATATGTTGAAGAATAAAACCAAAGTCAAATGAACAATAAAAATANGAGAGAGAGAGAGAGAGAGAGAGAGAGAAAAAAGAGTTATCATCATATTCATTTAGAATGATGATGATAAATATGAACCACCTGGACCAGAAAAAAAATTTTCGTTTTTTTCTCCAAAAACCATAATCTCCATCAAGAAAACAACAACAACAACAACAAATCGATTAATCGATCGATACTTGAAACAAATATCCTGTTCTTTTTCACTCATAAATTCATCATAATCATCAGCATAAAAACTCTTGTCCACTTTCATCGAATGGTTATTTTTTTTCTGAAAAATTTTTAACAAAATTGAAAATTCGATACAGATGATTCTTCCTTTCACTCTTTTCCATTATTCAGTTATTTTCAGCATACAGAAGCAATAGAAATTGACAACAAACAACAACAACAAAAAAAAACTAAAGTGGCCAATTCTATGAAATGGAAATGGATTCAAATGTTTGAAAAAATTTTCAAACATTTGCGTGTCCAATTTTTTTTTGAAATTTCCAAGTGAAACACTACAATTATCATCATCATACTTGATCAGGCTAACAAGATCAAAAAGAGAGATAAACAGATTGATATGACAGGCTTGAAAATGATATGTTGAAGAATAAAACCAAAGTCAAATGAACAATAAAAATATAGAGGGGTTCACAAAAAATCCATTTCAATAGCCAGACGCGAAAAAATGGCCATCGGTCGCATCTTTTTTAAAAAGTTTTTAAAAAAAAAAATTTTCATTTACAACTCAAACAGCAACATAAAATCCATCGATCCATACACTCATCATGTATAAATAGATAATTTTTTTCACTACTAAAAACTAAATAATAATGATGATGAACAATCGACTGAAATAGACTACAAAATACTGGAATACATTATATGTATATTTACATTTAATATAAACAAAAAACAGAGAAAAATGGACATAAGCTTTATGATACGATATATATATAAATATCCGGATAATGTAAATGATACTAATAAGGGTAATAGGGAGAGAGAGGCCAATATTGTTTCCAAATGAATGAATGAATGAGGCTTAAATCAACAGAGAGAGAATGTGAAAAAAAGACACACATAAAGGCCAAAAAACACTGGAAACACGGGTACTGAATTGGGTTTTGTTTCACTAAATCACAATGTCCAAACACAAGTCTTTGATTGTGTTTGTGTGTGTTTGAATCATTGTTGGTCAAACAAAATATCCAAAAGCCTGATCATATCATAGTTGGTTGTTGGTTGTTTGTTTGATGGGTGAAAATCCGATTCCGAAAAAGGTTTTTTTGCTTTGTTTTGGGTAAATTTTTGAAAAAAAATGGTCAGAAACAAAAAAAGCTTATTAAATGGAACAAATGAAACATTAGTAGATAAGGCGATTGATGATGAAAAGTGAATAATAATTTTTGTTTTGTTTGTTTGTTTCGATTGTTTGCCTGCAATCATTATCATTTGTCATTTTGCTGGAAAGAATAAGAAAAAATGAAAGCGGATGATTAAAAAATTTTTCAATTTTTTGAAATTTTCAAACAAAAGTGTGCAAATGTCATCATCATCATTTTTTTCAACGAATGTCAACCATGAAATGAATGGAATGATGATTTTTCTACAATAAATTGGCAATTAGCAAAGGACAAAATGAAAAAACAAAGTAAGGATTTAACGGATCCAAAAGTTCAAACGGAAAATACTTCCAATTAATGGCCAGTAAAGCTTCATTTTACTGGTATTCTTTGTTCCAATCAATCAATCGATGAATCGAATCATTAGATTCAAAGATTATCAAACAAAAAAATGAACATTTTCTTGACTGTTCATGACATATGATATGTCAGTTTTTTTTGCTTCAAAATTGAAAATTTTCAAAACTTAATTCCATTTTCAACGAAAAAAGTTAGTTTGATGATGAGTTTGTTTTTTCGCTTGTTCAATCAAGAAACAAAAAACCGATCAAATTATCATCATCATTATTTGATTATGAATTCCTTGAAGGACATTTTAAAAAATGATGATGATGGCGATGATCCGGAAATAATGAAAGATGATATTTTTAGAAAAAAAAAACAAAACGGGAGCCATTAGCATCATCAATTTTTTTTCGTTGAAAACGATTCTCATGTGATTAGTGTGTGTGTGTGTGTGTGATCAGCAAATTATGTCACACAAAAAAAACAAAATTCAATATTAATTTTCTGATTGAAATGATTGATTTTTTTTTTTGCATTGCAAAAATAGAAATCCATTGAAATTCTTAATGTTTGAATGGTTTGAATGTTTATGATGATAATGCATGCATCATCATCATTATTACTTCCGTATTTGGATTGAAAAATTTGTTTGTTTATTTTATTTCTGAAGATGTTTTTTTGTTTGACAAAAATCTAAATACATCTGCAAAATTGTCATGGCTATTTTGTTAAAAATTTTTTCATTTTTTTGGTTGTCAAATGGATAAATTACGTAAAAAACGATAATGGACACAAAATGTCAAAATTGTTGTTATTGTTGATCAATTAGGAAGTAACTTGTTGTTGTTAAAAATTTTTTAAAATAAATTTTCAACAACAAAAATGTCATTGAATATTTTCTCTGTTCGCTTGTCCATCATTTTTCTTTCAATCATCTTTATTTGGTCAATTTAAATATTGTTGTTTAATCAATGGAAAATATGAATTTTTTTTTTGTTTTGTTCCAATCCCATCAATGATGAGAGAAATGATGTCAAAATGGAAAACAAAAATGAAAAAGAGAAAGAGAAAGACTTGTGAAAATGTTTTTTCATTTAAAATTTTTCATTTTCATTTCAAAGAAAATTGTTTAAAATCCTGTTGTGTGTGTTCAATCAAATGAAATTTATTTCAAAACAAAAAAAAACCTCTTTTCTCAAAATTCTTTAATCATGTTTATTTGTTGATTTAAAATACTTTTGATTGAATTCCATTGCACTTAAATCAATCCGGTAACGATTTTAATTACTTTTATCATCATCATCCATAACCGAAAATCTACAAAAAAACAGCACGAACGAATCCGAAATTCAAATCAAGTAAGATTCTTTTAATATTTTACACAAACACAACTTAACAAGTTTTTAAAAAAAAGACAAATTTGTTTGTCTGTTATTGTCAAAACTGAAAAACTAATGTTATTTAAATCTTTAAATGTTTATGTTTGGATATTTTTTTCTTTAATTCATTTCAGAATTCAAAAATAAGAAAGATGTTTTTCAACAAAAAAAAGATGTTTTTATTAGTTTTCAAATATAAACACACAGAATAGAAATGTTATTNCCATTGCACTTAAATCAATCCGGTAACGATTTCAATTACTTTTTTTCATCATCATCACCATAACTGAAAATCTACCGAAAAAAAAACAGCACGAACGAATCCGAAATTCAAATCAAGTAAGATTCTTTATTTTATTTTCACGTTTTACAAACACAACTTAACAAGTTTTTTAATAGACAAATTTGTTTGTCTGTTATTGTCAAAAAAGAAAAACTAATGTTATTTAAATCTTTAAATGTTTATGTTTGGATTTTTCATTAATTCATTTCAGAATTCAAAAATAAATGCAAAACAGAAAAAAAGATGTTTTTATTAGTTTGTTTTTCATTCAAATATAAACACACAGAATAGAAATGTTATTCTTTCTCGCTCGCTTGATATCCATTCGTCTTTCATTCAAAAATGAATTATTTTTTCTTTAAAATTCAATCCAAAAGACATGGTAACGTTGTAGTAACGGCAATGAATAATAATCTTTGAAAATCTTCGTGAAAATGAAAAATGTTATGAATATGTATGTACATCATTGCCAAGCTTTACACACCCAAACTTCATATAGAAACTTCTAGGTTTATTTAAGAACAAANAATGTTATTTAAATCTTTAAATGTTTATGTTTGGATATTTTTTTCTTTAATTCATTTCAGAATTCAAAAATAAGAAAGATGTTTTTCAACAAAAAAAAGATGTTTTTATTAGTTTTCAAATATAAACACACAGAATAGAAATGTTATTCTTTCTCGCTCGCTATATCCATTCAAAAATGAATTATTTTTTCTTTAAAATTCAATCCAAAAGACATGGCAACGTTGTAGTAACGGCAATGAATAATAATCTTTGTGAAAATGAAAAATGTTATATGAATATGTATGTACATCATTGCCAAGCTTTACACACCCAAACTTCATATAGAAACTTCTAGGTTTATTTAAGAACAAAAAAAAAACTGAAACGAAACCGAAAACATCCATCCATATGGATGATCTGGATTATTTGGTAAGAAAAAAGAAGTGGTAAACAACACAAGTTGTTGTTGTTGGTTAATATTTGTTCTTCGTGTTGTTGTTGTTTTGATGATATGGATACTACCATCATCATCATCGAATGAATGAAATGAATTTACCGGCATCAAATAAACATCAAATAAGTGTGTGTCTGTGTGTATGTGTAATGTTTTTTATCAATAAGTTTGATTTCCGATTGATTAATTTCTTATCATCATCTTTGTTTGATTGAAATTTGTTGATAAAATTCTTGTTTGGGAAAACATCTTTATTCATTATTTATCAAAACAAAATATGCTCCAGTTATTTGGCTGCCATTTATTTCATTGAACGAAAACATGTGAACATATCACTCGAAAAAGTTTGTAAAAAACTTTCTGAAACGAAAAGAAAATTCTTCAAAATCAACTTGATTCTTTTATTGAGTGTTTTAATTCAGGAGAAAAAAAAGTGAAAAAAAAAACACACAACAACGGTAAGTACAACAACAACAACGTTTTTGCTTTTCCTTTTTCTCAATCCTTATTTTTTTTCTCGTAAAAACAAAACTAATCCATCATCAACGAACGACAACGACGACGATGATGATGATAATGTACTTTACCATTTATTCACACACTTGACTATACATACACTTGATCATTTGATGATGAGAAAATATGGTTCGCCTCATGAGATATGAACAGCAAAAAATCTTAATTAATCAAATTAATGAAAAAAAGAAAGAAAAATATTATTCTTAATTCATTTTGACTGTCATTTTTGGAAACAAGTTTTTTTTGTTTTGTTTTGAAAGAGGGACAAAGTGAGAATTTTTTTTTCGGTAAAATCCTGACAAGACAATCATAATGAAATTAAAAAAAATGAAAATTTTGAAAAAAAAGAATTAAATTTCAAATTTTGTGTTAATCACGTTTTCCACTGATTTTTATTTTGGTTAATTCAAACCTTCCTTTCAAAAATATATTATTCTTAGTGAACCTCTTTGGTCTCACACCACCACAACCAACAACAACAACAACACTCATCATCATCATCATGTGACAGTTAACTGAAAAAAAATGACAAGATTTAAAACGAAAGTGAAAAATGATGGATATATTTATAGAGAGAGAGAAAGTTACCTAGAGAGTAGTTAAACATGGATGTGAAAAATGAAATGAAATAATCTCTTAGATTATTGATGCCAGTTCTACCACCACCATCGTCACCCCTCAGGAAATTGTGACAGCAAAAAAAAGGGTTAGATAATTTGGTTAGAATAATGCCAGATTGAAAATCGAAATGACAAAATAAAAAACGAAAAACAAACCGCACACATCATTTCAATATGTTGTATATTTTCAAAAAATTTAAAACTAAATTTCATTTCCTTTTTTTTCAAATTCAGAGAATTCAAATAATGCAAATGAAAAAAAAGGAAATTTTTACTTAATTAGTCTTAGCTATCCATCATTCAATTAATTTGCTTGATTCAATTTCTCGATTTTTTTTTGTTGAAAAAAAATTCAATTCAAATTGAAGCAAAAATGATTCGTTGATATGGATGTTTGCCATAATCATTCGTCATGTTATGTAATGTTTTTTCTTTTTTTCGATTTCGATTTCGACAAAATACAAATACAGAATCCACACACACACAACATGACTCTATTCATTAATGTACAATTATACCGTAATTAACAATGAAAAAAAAACCTCCACCATAATAATAATAATGATGAAGAACATTTGATGATTGAAACCAAAAACCAAAAAACCAAAAAAAAAACTAACATTGGATGTGTGTATTTTTTGGTTTCGCGGTAATTTCAATGAAAAATTTTCACTTGAATAAATCTGTTTTTCTTAATAATAATAATGAATTTGATGACTGACTCGGTACGGTACGGTTTGACGGTTGTCCCCACCGGTCGGGATTGATTTTTTTTGTTTTCATGTTTCATCATGTTTCTATGATGTTCGGGTTTTGTTTCGGGTAAATGTTGGAACCTGTGTGTGTGTGTGCCGCATCTGGTCCGATGCATTGATGCAAAAATCTTTTTTGCTTTTGATTTTCTCTGATTCTTTTTTTTCTTTTTTTGAATTTTGAATTCAAACTTGGAACGATTGTTTTTTCTTCTTCAAAATCAGAATTTGCTGTTGCTATAGATTTCCTTTTTTTTTCTTTGTTATGCAACTTTATTATTCCGGGGTTTTTTGTCTTCATTATAATTTTCTTCTGATTAATTAATGCAAATAAGCAACAAAAAGAAAAAAAAATTGTCGTTGTTAACCCGAATCGGATACCCGGATCATATTCATGTTACCCCTATCACTGACACCAGTGACGGGATTCAACAAAAAACCAAAAATTCAAAATTCTATAATTAGAAATTTTCTTTTGTTTATTTTTTCACCATATCCAAAACTTACTCTGGTTTTAATTAGATAAGACCAAAATTTCCGCTCAATGTTTGTTTGGAACTCAAAACATCATTTCTCTCTCTTCTCTCTCCCTCTCTTGCTCAACTTTCTAATTAATTATCATCATAGTTCCATAGCGAAATCATATGAATTCCACTCTCCCTCTGACATATTGTATACGGATGATGATGATTCAACCATTTTTCGTTTCGTTTTGTTTTTTGTTTTTTTGCTCTCGATATTCAAAACAAAAAAAAAGTTATGTTTATTTTAGATTATGAATATTTTCATTCATTCATTCATAATAACAATTGTCACATTTTTTGTTTTGTTTCTCGTAACGATTTAATTAGTTAGTCAGTCAGATTGGTAAAAGTTTTCTGTTTTCGGTTTGTTATGGCAGCTGATCCATGATTGTACAAATATTATTCCTGAACAAAAAAGAAAGAGACGGACGAAATTCGAAATGATAAAACAATCGATACCTTTATGAAATTCTTCTGCTTAGTTGATTTATCTTTTTTTTGGTCGGAAATACCCGACCCGACAAAGATGAATTACATCTCACCACACACACACAAACAAACAAACAAACAAACACATAATCAGATGTGTCGAGGTTTTTTGTCTTTTCTTCTATAATTCCCGATAATCATTCATATACCCGGGTAGGAATATACCGCAGCAATATTCATTTTCCGCTATACACCATCACCAATACGGTTAGTCATTACGAAACGGGAAATTATACACACAAACAAACTAAGAGAGTGAGTGTGTAAAAATCAAACAAACAACCAACCAAAATCTCAAACCACGAAATTTTTAGTATTCAATGGAGTAATCTTCTTATATCATTATTATAATGTCTATTTTTGTTTTTGGCATACCCAAGGGATATTCTTTTTTTGTTGTTTCCCTTGTTTGCATATGACGAGTGAATAACATTATTTTGCTTTGTTTTAAAATTTTTTTGTAATCAAAGAGTTTTTTTGCATGATTTCCGATTTGAATTTAGGGAAAAAAAATCCGATTTTCAAAATCAAATTCAATCAAACAAACGAAAACAATAACAAATGGCGGCCGTATCACCAACATTATTGGCCGTACTGACTATCGGTGTTGTTGCATTAATTTTGGGCATTTTTATTGGTAAGTTAAAAACAAAAAAAAATATCATTTTTCAAAACTGCTCGCCTGCAAGAGTATGATGATGATGATCGAGATTAATTACTAATATCATCATCATCATCAGATAATGAAACACAGTTTTTTTCCTTCTTCAACTCAAAAAGAGACTAATTATGATGAATAATTGTAGATAATGACCATTATCCAAAAGAAAGAACTGATGTTTTATTGTAGATTTTCGGTTCCAGTCCAGTGTACCAGCACCAATACAGTACACAAGCATTGGATAAAGATTAATGATTCTTTCATTTCAGTCACTCTCACACCGAACCGAACCAAACAGAATGAAAGAGTAAAAAAGCATTTGTGACCAATGGTTAAATTAGTAAATGACAATGATGATTAGTTGTGATGTTTAATTAAAGCAAATGAAGTTAGTGAAATGAATGATGAAAAGAAGAAGCTAAAATTAACTTGTTAACAGTGTAAATTGAATGAATGGATGAATGATTATTCTCTCTTTTCACCGTTGTCCAAAAAAAAGGATCATTATTAATGATGATGATGGTCTTGTTTTTAATTATTTTCATATTAGTGTCTTGGTTGTTGTTGTTGTTTAGTTGATACGTTGGATTTTATTTTATTTTTTTTGAATTTTCTCATGGAAAATTTATCATTTTTTTTCTCGTTTTTGTTGTTGACAATTTTTCTAATATAGGAATGTATACATTACCACCGACAATGACACCGGAAAATGCAGCTATTGTTAATGAATATAAACGTTTAATCAAAAATTATTATCAACAACCCCAACAACAACAAAATAATGATAATGATAATGATCATGAAATGATTGAAGATCCTGTATATCAGGCATTGATTCATGGACCAGATCCAGAAAGTATTAGGAAAAATATTCAGTATGTATTCATTTTTTTGTTTTAAAATTTTAAAAAAGTTTTGAATTCTGTTTTTTTCTTTGTTAAACAGATTATTATCGATAACACCACATCAATCAGGTACAAAACGTGATGAAGAATTGGCACAATTTTATCGTAATACATTTCGTGAAGCTGGTCTTGATCGTTCATATTTAATATCATATAAAGTTTTATTATCAAAAACAAATCCTGATCGTCCAAATCGAATATATTTAAATGATAAATCAACAAATGCTGTTTATATTATTGATAATCAAGAACCACCATTACGGCCAGATGAAAGTAATACAATACCATCATATAATGGTTGGTCACCAAGTGGTGATATTATTGGTGAACCTGTTTATTGTAATTATGGTTTATTAGAAGATTTTCTTCAACTTGATAATGCTCGAATTGATTTGAATGATAAAATTTGTATTATACGTTATGGTCGTATATTTCGTGGTAATAAAGTTGCAAATGCTCAACGTTTTGGTTGTTCAGGTGTTATATTTTTTAATGATCCTGAAACAATGTCACCATTTAGTCAGGAACCAGAATCATTATATCCAAATTCAATTTGGTTAAATGGTAAAGCAATGCAAAGTGGTAGTATACGTTTAAATGATGTAAGTTATGAAAAAAATTTTGCAAAAATTTTTACACAAATAATATTTCATTTTACAAAAATAATAGGGTGATCCTTTAACGCCTGGATATCCATCCATTATCGGTATGATTTTAAATCAGATTTTTTTTTACATCACGCTTATTAACAAACCGAAAAAACATTCCTATTTTAGATGGATTTCGTGAAAATATTAATGATAATGATCATTTACAATCATCATTACATCTGCCACAAATACCAAGTCAACCAATCGGTTATGATGATGTACAAATGATATTTTCGTAAGTTTCGACATTTTAAAAAAATTTCAAAATTCTAAACAAAACAAAATGAAAATGAGAACAGAACATAGAAAAACCGATTATAATCTATAAATGGTACATTCATTTTCAGTAACGAAAGAGGTCAATCGTGTCATATTGATTATATCTGGATTATAAATATCTAGTTTTGGTGACAAAAACCGAGACAAGATAAATCACACAATATTTTATATCGATGAAATCAGATATTACAAACAAAACAACAACAACAACAGATCGTTGTGAATAATGATGATGATGATGATGACATTTATTATCATGACAAAACAATGATCAAAATCAAATTGAAATTTTATTGAAAAAAAAAATTTCAAAAACATGTTTTTCATTACTAAATAAATGTTTTAGTAAGTGATTCATACTGAGTGAAACAGAGAGATCGAGAGAATCGGAAATCATTTTCGGATTTTTCATTCATTCATTCACATTGTGATTTGACGCGTAATAATTTTCTCTTCTTGGATTGACCAATGGTCATCCTGATCATCATGATCATCAACGAAGTAAAACGCGTGTTTCTCTTTCCAACAACAGAAAAGTTTTATCAAATTTCTTGTTGTGAATAAAAAGAAAAAAAAGAGAGACACGTGTTGTTTTGGTTCATCATCCGATGAATGTCCAATACACAACGATGATGTTTGTTGGTGTATTAATCCAACACACACACACAACAATCCCGTAAATGACCTTTGTACTGTCCATTTGAGGACGATTTTTCTTTTTCAATGAAAAAAACACAGTAAATATTCAATATGAGAAAACAAAAAAAAGTGAAATGATGAGGATGATGGGTAGTAATGAATGGTGGTGGTGGGCAATTAGTTGCGCCTAATAAATCTTAAAATCTTTGTATCAAATTTGATCAATGTTTTCATGTCATTATCATTATCAATTGTTGTTGTTGTTGTTGTCGGGCAACGTATTGATCATCAATGAATGAATGAATGAATGAACGGTTGCCACTTGAAGATATCAATAAAAATAATAATAATAATAGAAAAACAAAGAATTCAATACATCCGACATACACCCACACACACACAACATACGAACACACTGCTAACATTTATTATCATTATTATTTTATTATTTTCCTGGTTAGTTTTTAATAAATAAATAAATAACAATCAAAACAAGAGAAGAGAGAGAGAGAGAGAGAATAAATTATTACCTATCATTATCATTTTTGATCGAAATTTTTTTTTGTTTTGGTTTTGTTTTCTAAATTCAAATTCAATTCAATATTAAAAACACGCGCCGATGCATACAATTCTTGTTTTAGTTCCATGAGATTCAAGTGTGTGTTGTTGTTGTTCTCGAAAATATCTACCACAATCCATAGATAAATGGTCTCGTGGCCACTTTTTTTTTCGTATGATGATGATGATATTGAACACAAATATACGGTAGCATTATATATTTGATCTTCAAAAATGCCATATACATTTTGTAGTAAATAAGTGGTAGTCTATTCATTTTATAAATGGATCGTTGAGTTTTGTTGTTTGAAAAAAATAATCGTTCAACCGCTTAATACGGTTTTTTAAAAAAAAATTTTAAATTTTGTTTCTTTCTCTTTTGCTAAACAGACAAATGACCGGAATGAGCACTGAAGATGATATCAGATTTCAAAATTGGACGGGTAAATTAAATGTTACCTATCGTTTAGGTCCTGGATTTCAATCACCAAGTTTAGAGTAAGTTTGTTTTGTTTTTTTTTTGCTAAAATGTTTCTTGTTTGTCGTCCAAATACAAATTTTCCACAACACAGATGCTTGAATTTTAATTACAAAAAATAGAAATTCAAAGTAAACAATTTTTTTTTCGTCTTCGGTGAGAGATCTAATTAATATTCAGCGAAAAAACAAAACGAAACGAAATGAAAACAAACAAATAACTCTTTGGCTACAAAAAACATTCAATGAATGAATGAATAAAACCCGAAAACAAATATCAAAACATTTGACAAACAAACAAACTATGGAAATAAAATTTTCAATGTTTGAACAAGTGTATTTTCGCGCGCGTAATTCTACATCGCCCACATAGTTTCTTGAACAAATGAATGAAAAAAATTAAAATAAATCTGGTCACTTGTGTTATGTAAAACAATTTTTTTTTACTTCACTATCGCCTAATCATCATTTTGTTTTATTTTTTTAGTTTTATGATTGAATCAAATCGACAACAACTTTGATAAATGAAAAATTTACAAAGTTCAACAACAACAACAAGAATATGGAAATTTGTTTTGTTTTTTATTGAAAAAACAACGGAAAATTTATGGAAAATGAGTCCCATTTGGGTTCGTTTTGTTTATGTCGAATATTGAAAAAAATATATTCAGAATTTCATTCGAAAGTTTGTCATAAATTTCAAATCATCATTTTGCATTACAATAAATTCATTTAGGAACGATAGAAAGAAACAATTTCTACATTTCACCCAAAACAACCCATTCTTCTTTTATCAAATGTAAAGTTATAAAAATAATCATCATCATCATCATAATAATAATCATAACCAGTTAATTTGAAGCAATAACTATAATAATTTTATGATTTTGACAATTGTTTGTTTGTAATAATTTCTTTTTTTTCACTTTTTTTTATTCATTGAAAATTGTACAATACACACATAACCGATGAAATATGTTTATTTCTCATTTGCACACAAGATATTCAACAACAAAAACAACGAAAAAAAACCCTAAAAACCAAGGACCAAAAGGAGAGAGAAAAAATATAATGATTATGGTTGGTCGGTCGATTGTCGTTGTTGTCCACACATTTCAATTTTTATTCATTCATTCTTTGGGGACCATTTGATTTATCGATAGCAATTTATAGCAAGACACAAACACACACACTCTTTTTATCATTTTGCGTTTGGAAATGAAAATCACACGTGTGTGTGTGTGTGTATGTGAAGATAGTCAGTTGGTTACTTGGTTAGCTGGTTGAATCGGTTGATCCAAATATCATAATAATAATAATAATAATTAGAAAAAGATGTTTCGCGTTCCATAATAATAATAATAATAATGGCAATAATAATAATAATTTAATTTAGTTATGGAACATCATCATAATTTACAATGTTTTATTATCTTGCTTTTATTTATTTATTTCATTTTTTTGTTGTTTTTGTTTAGATTACGAATGGTAATCAACAATGAAATGGTTGAAAAAATTGTACATAATGTTATTGGCGTATTGGATGGTAATATTGAACCAGATCGTTATATTATTATTGGTAATCATCGTGATTCATGGAGTTATGGTGCATTAGATGCATCTAGTGGTGGTACATCAATGTTAGAAAGTGCAAAAATATTTGGTAAATATCATCGTGAAACTGGTTGGCGACCGAGACGATCATTAATATGGGCTAGTTGGGCTGCAGAAGAATTAGGTCTTATTGGTTCAACTGAATGGACTGAACAATTTGCTCAATTACTTCAACGTGAAGCTATTGCATATATTAATGCTGATGTTTGTGTTACTGGTCCATATTTAGATCCTGATGCATCACCATCTTTAGCACAAATTTTAATCGATGCAACTAAACGAGTTCCAGCTCATAAAATCAATGATGATAATGAATCAATATCAAAATCAAATCAAACATTATTCGATATTTGGCAAGCAAATTCCATTAATAATGATGTTCGGTAAGTAGTGTGTGTTCGGTTTATTCACATTCAAAATAACATTATGCTATTGATTTTTCAGTGTTGAAATACTAAGTTCTGGTTCGGATCATGTACCGTTTGCATATGGTCTTGGTATTCCATCGATTAATTTACATTTTAAACATGATAAGGTCTGTATATACTACATATTTATTGTATCGATTCAAAAAAAATGATTCTTTGATTCATTTCTATTCGTTTTATATAGAAAAAATATCCAATCAGTAGCTATCCAGCATATCATACCAATTATGATACATTCTATATGGTCAAAAAATTTATAGATCCAGATTTTAGTATACATCAATCCTGTACACGTTTGATTAATATATTACTATATTCACTATCATGTTCCACTATTATTCCGGCAAATTTTTATCATTTATCACAACAAATTCTTAATGATTATAATCAACAATCAATTGATCAACAATTAAGAAATATAATTGGTAATGAAGATCAAAAATCAATAAATTTTCTACATGAATCAATGAAAATATTTGATAATGCTACTGAACAATGGCAAAATGAAATGAAAAATTTTAATCTAACTGATCAACCATTAGCTATACGACAAATAAATGATTTAATAATATCTATTGAACGGTCATTTGCAACTAAATTATTACCACTTGATGGAAATCATGAAATAAGAAATCTTTTATATGGAACATTATCAACAAATTTCTATCAAACATTATTATTTCCAGGTGTTACAAATTTAATAGCTGAAATTCATAATCAACATTGGATAAAAACACAACAAAATGGTCTGACACGTAAAGAATTGAATGAAATTGATCAACAAATTAATCATTTAAAACAAACACTGAGACGACATCTGAATGATATATCATTATCATTACGAAATGCAGCAAAATTATTACGACGAAATATCAAACCAATCATATAATTACTGATACTATTTTTTTTGAAAATATAATTTTTAAAACTTTAAAATTAACAAATTATTTTATATATTTTATATATGTAATTAAATACATAATTTTATTAATTTATCAAAATCAATCAATAAATTAATCAATCAATAATCAATAAATTAATCAATAAATTAAGTTTTTTTTTCAATCATCATATCCAAAAAAACCACCACCAACACATCATTAATCATAATACACCCACGCACACTGAAAGAATATGAAATGTGTAATTAATCAAATATTTTTTGGCAATTTTGGGTATCATTATGATTTATTTTTGTGTTGGAAAACATTTGAAATGATGCACACTTACACAGAAGCCCAAACACAATAAATCATATCATTTTCTTTTCATTCGTTTCATTTGTTTTCATCATCTATAAATAAATGATCCATAATAATAACATTAATAATAATCCTTTGGTTCCTAAAACCAAAAAATTTGTTATAATGATAATTGTATTAATATCGTTGATGATAATGATCATCAACATTATCAGATGAATGAATGAATGTACAAACAAAAAAACTATCAACTTAGAAAAAACTTTTTTTTCACCAACAAGATTAATTATAAATTTATTTAAATCAAATCAGTAATCATCATTATGGTTAGTGTTGCATTGCTTTCTTTTTTCGGTTTTTTTTTCTTTTTCGGTCTCGGCTAAACACGAAATAATTACAAATTCAACAACAACAACAGCATTTCTATTTTGAAAATTCAAATCGAAATGAAAGCTAAAAGTGAAATAAACACGTGGCCAAAAAAAAGGAATGAAAACAATGTGTAACAATTCTTTCTTTTTGTAACAAGAAAAATTAATTTCAAAATAATTATAACCAGAATTTACAAAAAAGAAATCAGAATCTCGTTTTTTCAAACAAAACAAAAAGTTTTCTCATTATTTTACGATTCACGAATGAATCACACATCCACACAAGTGAAACAAAAGTGAAAAAACAACATCCAAATGAAAAAAGATAAAAATTCAAGGCTCATTGAATTTTGATTCGGTTCTCGTAAAAAAAACAGAAAGACAAAACAATATGATTTTCATTTCATTTTTCTGGAATCTATACATTTTCTCTGTTGTATTTCACCGTGCATGATGATTCCTTTGAATACTAAATGTTCAAAAGCAAAACAAAAAAAAAAGAGAGTTTGTTTATTCAAGTAGATTCCGATATTGTCGATAATAATAATAATAACAAACTGATATTATGGATTTAAACACATAACACTGAAACACACAAACATAAAACTGTAAATCGCTGTTTAGTCGTCTGTATAATTATCTTTGTTTTTCCATTCAAAAGTTAGTAGAAGATGAAAATTATGAAAACAAATATGGAACGATCCAAAAAACAACAACAACAAACAGCAACCAAAAAGTGAAAAAAGACAAAATGTTTTTTTGATCATAAAAATTTTTATGACCTTTTTTTAAAAAATTGAGTTCTGCTTTCATTCATTTCACTAACTAAATAAATAAATGATTCTTGGCCCTGTTCATTCATTGTTTAAAGAATTTTAGTAGAATCGAATCAGGAACAAAACACTGACACTGGATTCAAAATAATTTACGACAAATAATAATAATAATCTTTCGACCATAATGAAAACGAAAACAAAACAAATGAAGTTGATTCTAAGAATTCTACCAAGTTTATTAATTCAAACAGGCGAAAAACTGGAAAAAAATTGTTTTTTTTTGAAATGAAAATTTTTTAAAAAAAACTTTGGCTGAATATCTGAATGTGATGATGTTTATTCATTCGAATGCAAATTAGCCTTCCTCGTCATCATCATCGTTGACGATATTCACACAATGCGGATGACGGAAATAATATACGGTAAAATGAACAAATTAGTGAAAAAACTTATTTCAATTCTGTTAGTCATATGATGACATTTGTTTAGTTTTTTTTTCGATTCTCATTATAACCATCAATTTCTTTTTTTTGCATTTTCCATTTGGTCATTTCAACATCTACACACTTGACTTTGCTTGTTATTTTTTATTATTATCATTTTTTAGCCGTTAAATTGAATGAAATAAAAAAAAATTTCAATTCAAAAAAAAAAATTGGATGCAAATAAAGTTGTTCATTTCGTTTTTCGTTTTATTTGTAAAAAAAACGGATATAATTGGAGAGGATACCCACACATTTGTGAATTGTCCATTCATTCATTCAAATGATGATGATTTAGTTTTTTCATTTGATTCTCTCTGCATATGCGATAAACATCGTCATCTACATCATCATGATGATGATGATAGCCAAGCCACACAAACAATTTTTCGCACTCAATTTCCACATGGATGATTCTTTGTATCCATTTTTTTTTATTATTATTATTAAAATAGCAACATCGACAACAACTGAATCCACTCGGGCACGGGCTGGACTGTTTTAGGATCTAACATCATCATCATCATCATAATCAGAACAAAAATAAACGATCCAATTGGGACAATGAAATATTGTTGAACCAAGAAAAGTAAAAAAAAAAAATTCACCACACACATGGTCAACATCATAATAAAATGAAAGTTTTTTTTAAAAAAAAAACGAGAAAAAATTTATTTGTTTTTTTTTCTTTTCGCTATCCATGGATTCATCATTAAATGGATTTCCTAGTTTGTTTTTTTTCCGCATTCTGTAAGACTTTTTGCATTTGCACTTAATTATTTAAAAGTCTAACGGAAAAAAAATGATGATGCTTACAGTGTCCAATTGTACAAAGGCTATACATACAAAAACAAACTAAGAATCCTGCAAAAAAAACAAAATCTAAATTATTAAAACTTTTCAAAGTATAAAAATAAAAATAAAAATCCATTTGTCAAAAATAAAGTTTTTTTTTATTTTTCTGACAAACAAAAACAGAAACAGAAACAGAAATCGAAATTAAATTGAAATTTTTCCCTGCGGTGATTTTTTTTTATTATTCCAGAAAAGAAATTTCGAAAGGTCAACACACAGAATGTCCACAGAATTACAGAATTCTTGTTTTATTTTTTTCGATTGAAAAAATGTCAACGATAAACATTTGATGACAAAAAAGAACTAACTGAAATAAATTATGAATCATCGCATCACATTGACTGGTGTTTTTTTTAAAAAAAAACCAAAAAAAAATGTTCTTCTTTTTTTTGGATCCCATAAAATCAATTATGAAACGGTAATTTTCTTTCTCCAAAAAAAAGGCAAGAATTTGGTGAGAATATTATGTTGGCAGTTTTATACGATAAATTAATTTTTGAAAAGAAAAAGAATAAAAACAAATTTATTTAATGATGTTTCGTTGCTGGTTTCCACATTGTCATTCAATGAATGAATGAATGATGTAATTGACACGCGAAAATCACCACCATCAACAACAGAAAAAAATCATTGACAACAAAAGAGTCAATTAGAGAGACCAAAGAGGCCATCAACATCATATAATGATGATTATGATTAACAAAAAAAAATGGTGACTTGTTTAGTCATGGTTATTGTTTGGATGTTTTTTTTGGTTTGGTTTCGCTTTAATATTATATTATGGGCTAACAACAATCCACAATCCAAAAAATTTTGTAATTGAATATTTCATTTCAAGGCTAGACCGAAGTGAGAAAAAAAACAACAAAAACAAATTCACTCCTCTCACACATTTTCAATTTCAATCAAATCAAATCACTGCCAAGATCATCATCCGAAACTGAATCGATTAATGCGATACATTCTCACACACCGCATATACTACACACAGAATTCAATTAACAAATTTTTTTTTTCATTTCTTTTAAAGCATTACATTTTCTTTCTTTTGTCACTTTGGTCACTTGGTTATTATACTTGTATTTTATTAATTTTCCATATTTTTGTTTCATAGTTGACAACAGCTTGTCACACCACCACCACCGCCAACAAACACACGTACAATCAACGAATGGACAATGATCCAACAATCAGGTTCCACAGAAACTGTTGTATACATGGAGGCCGTAGAGACCAATTGTCATGGATAATTAACAACAACAACAACGGTGATGATGATAATAACATTTCAAACTCTCACACTATTCAATTCAATTCAATGTTGATTGTCAATCCTCCTAGACCTTTTTTTTTCTTGTTGTTGTTGTTGTTGGTGTTTTGATTGAATTGAAAATCCCACATTATCATTCAAGTCGATCAAATCAACAAAGATACATAGACATAGGCCAGGTCAATTTTTTGTTTCGTAAAAAATGAAACTTTCAATTTTTCGTTTTTTGATTCTTCTTTCCACAACCATCTTCTCTTTTTCAATTGGATGACATTTAACATTGAAATTCAAATTGAATTGATTTGTTGGGAAGAAAGAAAACAAAAAAGTTGATATGACGCGTGTCTTTTTTTACAATCATCATTTGGAAACAAAAAATCAATGAAAGAAAAGCAAAAGAGATAACATTTTCTTTTTGACAATATTCAATCATCAATTCGCAATAATCATCATCATTGTAACATTGTTCATTTTTTTTTTTTTAGTTGACAATTTCCTGGTGATTCCAAAAGATTTTTTAATTATGAATATGACGATTGTGTATGATTTTGGCATCATCATCATCATCATAATGATGTAAATTCGGTAAATTTTCTTTATTCTTTTTTTCGGTAAAAAAATAACGGAAATCGTTTCAGGTTTCCTGGTTATATAATTTCTATTGTGAAAAATTTGGAAAAAATTGAAAAAAAATCGGAAAACCAGATGACCAACCAGGCAACCAAACCAAATCGGTTCAATGAGTTTCCCGTGTCGGTTAATGATAATACCAGCTATTTTTTTTTCGGTAAAAAATAGGATTAATTTCTAACCGGGTAAAATAACCTTTTTTTTCTACTTGAATTTACACAAAAAAAAAAAGTTTTCCGCAAGTATTGATCCGGTTGAATTAAGAATTGATGCTATTTTTTTGTTTGTTTGTAAATCAAACAC